AAACGATATCGATTACATTACGCACACCTCTTCTAAGCTGGGGGTAAATTCGAAATTATTAATTGATATTGATTTAATCGAATATATTTCCCACCATTTTTGTCCTCTTTTCTTAACTTAGAATAATTTCCATTTAGGAAAGGCATCGAACGTCTTGATTCTAGCCTCAGTTCCATTACTAGTTACTATTACAAAATGTCTCATTGCAGGCATGTGTCCTTTTTAAACAGTCTTTATATCAAAACTTAAACGTATATCTCTTCCATAACTACTGCCCGGGCCCACGTAGCAGTAATATTTTCTACATACCCACCAATGCCAATCTTGAGGAGAGACAGCACCCAGTTAATGATCAGCGCCTGGCAGATGATCTCTCCTTTGACCTAACTCCCAGAGGTCAATGGGAAAAAGGCAGGCCGGTGTTATTCTATACATCCAAAACTAAACTCTTAACATTTCATCATATCCAAGCAGACCCCAAACCTGAACCAATCCTTATGATTGGTCATAGCCTCAAAGAGTCTACCTACTTCGAACGTCTATTGGGGCTAAAGTTCACTCACAATCGCAAATGGAACGCGTATATTCGTGCCATCGCAGAAGTTGCTAGTAGAATGATCAGTTCACTGATTTGCTCGAGAAAATATTTAAATCCAGCTGTTATGCTTGATAAATGAAATATTGCTCTCCTATCTGAGTTTATGTTGCCCTATCTTTACCGTGCAAACTCGACCGAATTCAAAACTGCTTACGCGGCCTTAAGGGTGATGATTTTATTTTCCACGCCGTAACCCCTATCACACAAAGAATCATCATTAGACTTTCAACACTATATCGCTATTACTATGACATATATTCAAACGAGTTACATTTCTTGGTTCCACCAGTTCAGACTTTCACATCTCGACTTATCGTTGATCTCATTTGTTAAGGAGTAATTTCCACTCAGACAGCTCAAAACTGTTACTTTGTGGAAAAGACTCCTGAGAGGATGCTTCCTTGACAACTAGAATCTTGCTCTCTTTAAGTCCATAGTCGTCCGATATCTATCCTACTGGTAATAATCTTTTATTTCCCCCTTTTTACTCCCTTATAATCTCACTCAGTAACGATCTACCTTGAGTGGCCCTTAGGCCTTGTATTGGGTGAACTATCAGAAAGTATGGTCATCATCAAGAGAAAAGGCCCAAATGAGAGTAAAGAATTGAAGATATAAACATCAAGTAGGTGTAGATGTTTAAATATCTAGGAAACCTTTTAACAGAATATGAGAATTATGGCACCGAGATCCGAACACGTATTGAACTAGCGAAAAAATATTACAAAAAGCGTATCTTTTATTTTTGGTGTGTAGTGCACAAGACAAGGAAGTGTCGTCTCCCCAGATTTATGCAACCACTAAAACGATGCGGTTGAAGCATGCATACAGACGATAATGGGTGTGTCCCCATTCCCATAAGCACAACAGTAAATAGTGTATCTTGGTCTGCAGTTGGAGATTCGTCTCCAGATGCCCTAGTCGAACTCTCTGCCTTCGGGCAGAGAGGAACCCAGACGAGGCTATGCCGAAGGGAAGAGTCTCGTCTGGGATGGTAAACAGCTACCCGACCCCGTTTTACGGGGTCTACAGGGATATTTTTGCCCGAGCCTACGGGCTCGGAAACCCCACGTTAAATTCGGTCCTTGTGCCACATCTGACTGCGTGGGTCGGTTGGCAAATATCCTGCAATTAGAGATTCGTCTCCAGATGTGCTGGTCAAACTTTCTGCTTTCAGGCAGAGAGGATCCCCAGATGAGACTATGTCAAAGGGCAGAATATCGCCCCTGGAAACAGCTATACAGGGTCTACGGGGAATTTTTGGTTAGGCCTACGGGCTCGGATACCACACATGAAACGTGGGGCATTTGGTAGATATCCTGCAGTTGGAGATTAATTGGAGAATTCAGTTGATTTACTTCTAGCAGTAGACTACTACTTCTACGCGACGCTGGTGAATCGTATATGTGTTGTTCTTGTCCTAAGTATTATCGTTCATTGCCAACCTTCGTTTGAATATTCTTTACAGTAACCTTCCCTAGGTTACAGCACTGTCCAAATGGATATGGACACCCTACCAGGATTTATTTTCGGTGAGTGTAATCTTAACAATATATATGGTACGCAGATGACACAGTGTTGGAAGGTGACACGGGAAGTAAGCTATGTGAACGTTTGGGTAGGGTAGTTGAGGAAAGCGAGTAAAGATAGAGAAAATCCCAAGATGTGATTTACAAAGGGAAAATGTCAATATGAAGCAGGTACAAATGGTTAATTATCTGCGAATACTTTAACAAGAGAATAGAAAGCATCACCGAAATCTGAAGACGTACTGGACTAACGAAAGAGGCACCCAAAATATCTTAATAGTGTTCAAAAACAAAAGACTTCGTTTGGAACAAAGAAAAGAGTATGTTATGTAATATCCATCCTCTTATATGGCAGTGAATGCTGAACAATCTCCCAACGGATGAGGAAAAAATAGAGGCAGTAGAAATCTAGTTCTACAGAAGGATATTGAAGATTCTACGGATGGGTCAACAAGGATGTCTTGTGGACTCTTCCACAAAAAGCTAGTTAACCCCTGCTAGGAAATGCACTATTCCTGTTATAATTTTCACCATCACTATCTTACAAATATATAACAAGTATTCATTGGTCAATCACCTTAAATCTAGCTTACTGATTGGTCAGTTCCGACCAATCAAACCGCCTGTACGCGACCAATCTGTTTCCCCGCTCAATATGCAGGGAGCCTCCCACGTGGTACACGACCATTACATAAACAGAACACGTGTAAGCTCCCTACGTAGTTTATTTTCATTCATCTCTCGCGCGCGACTCATTCCTTGCTACCAAGTACCAAGATGTAATCTTCAAGAACTCCCGTCCCATTGCGGTCAGACGTTAAAGACCATTACCAACATTCACGCAAGTACGAACTCTGAAATCTTTTCTGAACTTTTACCAACTTGTACAATACACGATTCCAAACATGCCAAAGAAACTTTATTCTTCTAAATTACAGTTTAATATTACTTCCTTTTAATATGAACTCAGGTACAACTATTACCTTAATCAAAGGGACACGACTCTGTCTTACCTTTTTAGTTCACATGCATTTTTTTTTTTTTTTTGTTTTTTTTAAGCATTTTTAGTTCACACGCATGGGAAGATCAGATATCAAATGAGGGTAGTAGATAAATTCAATTGTTCGATGTTTTGAATATCATTATTCAGGAGAAGGGAAGAGAGTTCCACAGGCGAGAGGTTTTGTAGAAGAGACGGCTTTTATAGTTTCGACTGAAGGGGTGAGCGGGATGCTATTTGAAGTTTGGGAACCAGCGAATGCAGTTCAAATTTCCATAAAGTATTTGTAGAACAGACAGAGGAGGCGACGGTGCGTCTGTGAGAAAGTGACTGTAGACGAGACGCAGGTAGGGCCAACCATATTACATCCGCTTTGGAGCCTATCAAGAACCCTGAGGCCAGAAGGGGGTGCCAGACCATATATGGCAGCAATACTCCATGCAAGGGCGAATTGTGGATTTGTATATCTGAGGATCGACTCAGGGGAGAAAAAACTTCCCTAGCACGGCTCAGGGAGCCAACTTTCCTCGCATGGACGAGGCAATTGACTCGATGTATTTATTCCATCTCAGGTCAGCAGTCAATGTGAGACCGAGAAGCACAGAGAGTTGCTCTCCACGGAAGTTGAGCGTCTTATAATGGAGGGAAGGAAGGCTCTCTGTGGTGATTAATAGAGAGCAGTTTAGTCTTCGAAGCGTTGAAGTTGACCAGCCAAATCATGCCCCAGTTCATTTGGAGGTCCTTTTCGAGGCGCACGGCAAGGTGAGTTTTGTCAGCGAGACTGGATTTGTTTTTGAGGCAGGAATAAATTGTGGTGTCATCCGCGTAGATGCCGACAAAAATTCAATTGTTATGTTTTGAAATCATTCCGTTCAGTTTTGTATTTTATACTGGTGCTTTTATGTCAAATATAAATTGCATTGTCCATTGTATCATGTCCACCTTTCCTAGCCAAAGTTACAATATTGGTAACACTATCACTACAGTCTTAAAGAAAATGATAACAGAAAGAACACTTAGATTCCGTAAAAGACAACAGAAATTAATTAAGACAAAAAATGACGAAGGTGGTCTTTAAAAATTTGACCATCATGGTTCATATTGAGAGGAAGAGGGGTAGGTAAAGTCAGCAAGCTAATTAACATGACTAGCTTGTGTGAGTGGATGACGGAGCAAGAGGTGGACAGTAGTATTAGCAAAGGGAGAAGAAACCGATACGATCCACACGAGATAGGAAGTTGTGGAGAGCCATGATCGGCTATGACCTGAAGGCACATGGTATGTAGAAGAAGAATATAGTCAGGAATATTTCGCGAGCCATACGTTTATAAATGGCAGGTTTTAAGAACAAGCCTTTTGTAATGGACGACATGACGTTATTGAAGTTATGACGTATGGCCAGACAAGCATTCGCCACGGAATCACGTGACCAGCTGAAATGAAAACTCAGCTGGTCACGTGATTTTTACGTAGTCCGCTTTTCCTTTCTCTTTTATTTTCATGCTGTGGTTTCATTAAACGTCACAGAAAGCATGTTTAGATACACTAAAGAATTAACATTGTATTATTATTCTATGAACTTTCACGAAACAGCTTTTCTTCGTTGATTTTCGAGTGACCAGCTCTGTGAAGCGGCGGTTATAACTCACTCAATCTTGTGTGGTCAGACAGATAGAAAGAGGAAGACTTTTAAACAGAGAAAAAATAAACTATTTGAAACCTGTGTGAAAAGGGAAATGGAGAAGCGAAAGCAAAAGCAAGAGGAAAAGAGTGAAAACAGATGATGAGAATGAGAGGAAAGAGAAAGAGGTTTAATGAAACAGCACTAAGAAAGAAAAAGGAGAAAGAAAGATTAGGAGTAGAATAAAGAGAGTTAGAAGGAAAGACTTAAAAAGAAAGAAAGACGTTTTCTGAGAAAAAAAAAGAGAAAAATCTGCCAGTGAGTGAGAAAGAAATGAAGAGAAATATGCAAAAAGAGGAACAGAGAAAAGAAATCCCTGAGAGTGAGAAAGAGACGTTTAATGAAACCACAGCATGAAAATAAAAGAGAAAGGAAAAGCGGACTACGTAAAAAAGAAAATATAGATAGGAAAAAAGAGAGAAAGAAAAGACGTGATATTACTAAAGAAAGATGAAGAGTCTGACAAAGGGCGAGAGAGAAATGAAGGTAAATATCCAAAAAGAAAAACACTGACAGTCAAATAGAGGAATAAAGGAATAGAAACAGACGATTAAAGAAACCACAGCGACAGAGTAAAAGGAGAAAAGGTTAGAAAAAAACGAAAAACAGAATACGTAAAAGCGAGAGAGAAAAGCGAAAAACAAGGAACGCGATATTATGCGAGAAAGAGGAAAAGGAAGACTAAAGGTGAAAGTAAATATACAAAGAGAGGGATAGAAAAAGAAATATATTAATATATAAATTTAAATGTCCCTTACGAGATTGTACCTTATATTAGAAAAAAAAATAATATACATATGTTGGTTATACCACTACTACGTTGTTTCGACGGTTGAGTTTTCATTTGAATGATGTATTTATCATCTCTCAACATTTAAAAGAGCATGCTTGTCCACATTCGCAATTTAGGTAAATTCCCTTTAAAAATACATCTTTATTTATTCATGAAAATCATAAACTAAAAATTCTTGAAGCTATCTTTATTAAAAACTTGAAACCAACCCTTAACAAAATTAATTATGAATACTGCACAAATGTTTTGCAAAGTTTACAGTAGATAGTTTAAAATATATAGGTATTAACTAAAAGTTAATAACTTAGTTACCTCCCTTGACGTTTACATCATAAGATTAAAAAATCGTACAGTACATAATATTAGTGTTTTTGACTTCACAAATAAAAAATTAATTTTCAGATGAACACAACAATTTTGTCTTAGAAAAATGAACACAGCAATTTTTATCTTAGAAAAAACAAGACCCTGATGACGACATTGTGCTAATGTCGAAAGTACTCGGACTAAAAGGAATATTCAACAACATAGGCATTTTCTTTCTTTAAGAAGGATACTAAGAAACTTGTCCGTAATTACGAGAGGATCCTATTAAAGATAAGTAGATAAAACTTGTCTAAATTATTATTTGAGACATGTCTTAATGAAAACATGCTGCCAAAATACGCGCAACACACACACACACACACACACACACACACACACACACATATATATATATATATATATATATATATATATATATATATATATAGAGAAAAGGAAAGCGAGAAGGATAAGTTAAAAGAAACGACAACAATAGACTAAAACGAGAGAAAGAGAGATAGGAAGGACAGAACACATAGAAAAATGCAGAAAAAGGAAAGAAGGAATGAAAGTTGGTTCGAGAGGAAGGAGGGCCTTCTGTTATGTGCCATGTGTGATAAACGCGTAGGCGATCATGTATCTTTTGATACATGACTGACAAGGCAGATTTTTTTTCCGCAATAGGTTGCCATTTCTTTCTCCGTTAGACGAGTTGCCATCGAAGGTTATAGAATCCGGTTTGTCCTGCTACTTAACCATAGCTGGGGGAGAAGAAGAGGATTCAAATCTTTCCCAAGAGTATTAGCACGTAAATGAATGTAATGGATTCGATTGGAATTCGAACTCGGCTCTCCGATTTCTCCACAGTGCCTTAGAGAGTATGAAAGAAAAAAGAAGAGGAATATAGAAAACGAAGGACAGAGAAAGAAAGTCAGCGTAAAATGAAATGAAAGAAAGACAAGTATGTAGAAACCACAGGTAAAAATAAAAGAAAAGGATTAGAAGAGAATCCATAGCTTTTTCCAAAGATATTAGAACGCAAGTTAATGTAATGGATTCGACTGGAATTCGAACTCGGCTCTCGGACTCCTCAATCCGAGATTCTAACTAATAATCCACCGTAATTATGAAACAGTATAAAAAAAATGGCAAGAAATATAGAAAAACGAATGACAGGGAAAAACCGCAGGTTAAGAAAGGAAGAGAGTGTAAAATGAAGTGGAAGAAAGCTAAGTAAATAGAAGCCACACGTAAAAATGAAAAAAGAGAAAAGGATTCGTTAGTTGACAGAGAGAGGAAGAATAAAAGAGTTTACAAAAAACGCGGAAAAGGGAGGTAGAAGAAGAAAAGAAAAAAGATAGAAAGAAATTTTAAAAAAAAGAAAGGAAAAATGAAAGACAGAAAGAGATATTTTGCGAGTAGAAAAAAAGCCTGACAAAGTATTAGATAAAATAAAAATGAAAATTATAGGCATAACGAAAAGGGAAGACAAGAAAAAGGAGAGTAAGACAGAGAAAGAGAACTGCAAATGGTGTTACACAATTGAATAAACCATGTAGAGAGAGCTTATCATCAGTTCGGTTGGTGGCTAAACAGCCGTAAAAATACGCAAGATAATTCGGTTATAGATTAGTAAATAGATTAGATATATGCAAGGTGGAACCCTACAACGCTAACACATTTTTCTAGTACTGTGATCAAGTCTAATTAAACATAGCAACAACGCAGTATTACCAGAGCAGTTAGAAGGAACAAGATCTCACACAAATGGAAGAAGGTAATACGCATGCGTATTATAAGGTAGGTCAGAACATCTACACGACAAAAGTATATAACAGGCGCAAAGGAAAATCTGCACATAAATAAGTCATACTAGCTTAACTCAACGATCAGTTCTTAATTGCTCAATTACTTTAGTCTTGTGCCTTTCTTAGAAGGCGCTTCAAGCTGGTAGTTTAAAATCTTAGTGCAAAACTAAGTTACTCATTTGTTACTCTAAATGTGTTGCCTTGTGTCTGACAAAAGAGTAGATAACGATTTCTTATTACAAATATTTTTAACCGTTCTGGAACAGACAGAAAAAAATTGTAGAAAGAATATTTCTGAGAAAGGAAGAGAGAGAGAGAGAAAGTGGGGAGTGTTTGACAGAGAGATAGATTTTTACGGATTATCAAACCTTTATGGCTTCTTTAAAAGCAAAACATATGTTAGGTTGTCAGAATGTTTCCTTTTTAGAGAGTAAATATTGCATTAGAACGATTTTGGAGATTAAATTGATTGTTCTAGAAAAAAAAATCCTACTATTTCATCCATAGCTAGGGGGAAAAGACATGGATTCATATCTTTCTCAAATGTATTTACCCGTAAAAGTAAGTGAGGGATATAGATAGAAAAGAAAGAATGAAATCAAATATCGAGAAACAACAGAAAAAAGCATCCAAATGAGAGAGAGAGAGAGAGAGAGAGAGAGAAAGAAAGAGAGAGTGTGTTTGAGAGAGAGATAGAGGAACAAGAGCTGTTGACAAACGAAAATAAGTCCCACACACAAAACATATATGTACATACATACACACAGATACATATATATATATATATATATATATATATATATATATATATATATATATATATATATATATATATATTCAAAAAAAAGGGGATGGACTTGCACGAAGCCTTCATCAGAATAATCAAATCTCATGTGCCGGTGTCCGGCTGTCGGTTTCCTGAAACTGATCTGCTTGACCCTCATACGTCGACGGGAGTGTCGACTATATATATATATATATATATATATATATATATATATATATATATATATATATAAATTATAATATATAAATATATATATTATTCGTTATAAAAAATCACTACAAAAATTGGCATTCTTTATTTAGCACTCCTGGTGTCTTATCAAGTGATTGTGTTTAATATATATATATATATATATATATATATATATATATATATATATGGAGAGAGAGAGATAAACCGAAAAGAGAGAAAATGTGAGGAGAAAGGGGTGAAAATTCCCCACCCACTAAAAGCGATAAATGAAAAACCGCCTGAGAAAAAAGTGGTGAGTCAGTAAAAGTTAGTGGGAAAAAGCGAAAATGTACCTGTAAAAATATAAAAAGCGACTAACAGTGGTGCAGAAGAATAAGTGAATATGACGCACCCAAATGGAATTGAACCTCGGCTCTCTGATTAACAATCCAGCCAGAAATGCAGATCTTACAGCAGTTAGTATTTCCCAAGCAGTTACCCATCTAAGTACTGGTCAGGCTCGACGTCACTTAGGTGATCGTCCGGCAAAGTGATGTGGGCGTAAATGTCGATTGTGAGCCAATTCTTTAATTTTGTTCCCGGCGTCACACCTTGCGGGCCCAAAATACAAAGTCTGGCCCTTTGCATTGACATTAAATAGCTACAAAAATATAAACAGAAAGTATCATGACAAGTCTTCTTGTAAGAAAATGTAAATGTATTTCATCTAGTACTACTCGATCTGAGAAGATAAGATTTTGTTAATTCGAATAAAAGGAATAATACATATTCATCCTCTTGTTCGTCGACACATATTTATTTGGAACAACGCGAGATACAAAATAAGAAAAAAAAAGCCGAAGAACACATCGGCTGAAAAATAGCGTTCATTTCATCATGGATGATAAAACGATTTTGAACATTTTGGGGATTAACGTCCTAGCGTGTTTATCTTCTAGTGGTATCCACAAATCCTTGTTCAGTTTTTTTTTCCTTTTAGTTGATACCACATGCATGTGACAAATAGTTTTGTCTACCAAACAGTCTGTCTGCATTCGCACTGATAACGTTGTATTTGATACATTTTTAGAAGATTCGCAGAACGGTATGGATGTATCAGTTACCAGTTATTTTCTCAGTAATATAATGCAAGGGAAAACCGTGATTATATATAAAGCCTTCGGCTTCGAATCTGGTCAGATAGTTGTGATACAATCGTTAAAAGCAGTCTGTCCGAGATTTAATTGAATTCTATAAAAGGAAACTTTACGTCTGTCGTTTCTATCTGGACAAAATCGTACCATGAATATTTATACTTCGCGTAATTACGCACTTGCTGGAGGCATCCAATCAGCGTTCGATAACACTGCCTGGTTTAACGAAGGAATATCCACGCTGCATTTAAGTGGAGATTGGACAAAAGTAAAAAAAAAAAAAAAAAAAAAAAACAACTAAACATTCAGTAAAATCTTGAAGGAAAAAGTGACGTAACTGTGTGATTACGGTCTGTCCGTTATGTATAAAAATGAGAGACGATACTGCAATGGACAAAAACGAAGATGTTGAATAAATGACTTTCCTGGAGAACAGAAACAAGATGTTCATGTGCGCTATGTACGAACCACTTTTCATAACAAATCTCTTATTTTTGTGATGTCAACGAACACTCGTTACCACTTTTGTAATGTCAAAGAATCCTCATTGCCACTTTTGTAATGTCAACAAATACTCGTTGCCACTTTTGTAATGTCAACGAATGTTCGTTGTCACTTTTGTAATGTCAACGAACACTTTTTTGTAATTACCAATGTTCGTTTCACTTTGTAATGTCAACGAATGTTCGTTGTCACTTTTGTAATGTCAACGAACACTCGTTACCACTTTTGTAATGTCAACGAATGTTCGTTGTCACTTTTGTAATGCCAACGAACACTCGTTACCACTTTTGTAATGTCAACGAATGTTCGTTGCCACTTTTGTAATGTCAACGAACACTCGTTGCCACTTTTGTAATGTCAACGAATACTCGTTGTCACTTTTGCGATGCCAACGAACACTCGTTGTCACTTTCGTAATGCCCGTTTTAGTAGAGACTTTGTAATCGCAGATACAACTATAGTAACGCCGTTGAACAATACTGGTGTCAGGCGCCTTCGAATAACACTCTCACTATTAGTACTTGCTCGATAATACTCGCTCGAAAAATAATCACCGAATAGGAATCCTTGGAATGATCAGTATAGAGAAATAGTGTAGTGAATAGTATAGAGAATAGCGATCCGATAGTTATAGCAGGAGTAAGTGTATAGTAATAGAGAATAGAATAGTAACAGTGATCCGTATAGTAATAGAGGATAGAACAGAATAGTTGATCAATTAGACGTAACGCTAATTCCCATATATATATATATATATATATATATATATATATATATGTGTGTGTGTGTGTAAGCAGATATATGGACATAGATCCGACAGTATGAAAAAAATATATGGAAAAACAAAAATCCGAATATGCAAATATGCTGTTTTAATGTTATTTCAATGTCGACGTCAGACGTTTCGGTCTAGTAGACCTTCTTCAGGACATAGTTATTAAAACATAATTAACATTAGACGATATTCAAGTCAACATGACGTGATCATATTGTGAAACGGAACGCTGATCTTAAAAATTTCAGTTATTCTGTTTTGATTAGTCTTATGTCTATCGTCTTTTCATGTTGACTTGAATATCGTCTAATGTTTTAATAACTATGTCCTGAAGAAGGTCTACTTGACCGAAACGTCTGACGTCGACATTGAAACCACATTAAAACAGCATATTTGCATATTCGGATTTTTGTTTTTCCATATATTTTTCTTCATATATATATATATATATATATATATATATATATATATATATATATATATCCTTTACTGTCACGTGATCTACTTATTCAAAATGGTATCACCTGTGATCCGAATATTAATAGTGGATAAAATAGAGATAGCGATCAATTAGATGTCACGGAACCTTCCATATATGCGTTTCTCTCTGGTCACGTGGTATACATAATTCAATAAATGGGATCACCTGCGTTTGCTCACTGGTGATCTATGTTCAAACTCAAGTGTCACCAGGGTCACTTTATTCATATATAACACGGATGAAGAACCTGAGTGATCATGGCTCTCCACTAATTCCCATCCCTTGGAGCACTCGACAATATTTCACTTATTATCCTCCAGTTCATAATTTTGCCATAAGTTACGTATATGAATCACTGTTTCTTCCTGTTCATCTTGCCTTCGGTATGCCCTGTGAGTGTCAGATTCTCCAACAATCTTTCCTCATGACGTGTTCCTGAACATTCAACTGCCTCGTTCTGATAACAAGGACATGATTATTTCCATTTTCATTAAAACGTATTCGTTTCTCACATGTGATATTTAGAGTATGCTTCCGTAGGATCACAATATTGCTGTCTGATATCTCTTTATTTCACAGACAATTGTTCAGTATTCACTGCCATATCGGAGAATTGACATTATATTGCAGGCCAGCACTCTTTTCTTAAACGGACATTTCCTGTCCTTTGCTCAGCTTTTGAAAGACATGGGTTGACAGCAAATAAAGATTTATGCGCTTGAAGGCTCAAATGTGAGCAAAATGTACACATGGCGTTGAAAGATGCTTCTAGTTTGAGTCAATGTATTAATGTTGACAACGCACAACTTCAAATCATGTGGAAAATAGTAAATACCCTATAACATATCATCTTTTTATTTATTTAATATTAATTTAACACTAAATCATTACTTTTTAATAATATTCTGAAAAATGGTACATTTACACTGTATATATATATATATATATATATGTGTGTGTGTGTGTGTGTGTGTGTGTGCGCGCGCGTGTGTGTAGTAATGATACAATATGGTAATCTGTATGGACTTTCCAGAAAGACATAGATCCTGGGAGAGCACTATGCCAAAAGACAGAGAAAAATTTTTATTAATTAAAGAATTAATTAAAGAATATCAAACACTTAAAATACCAGAAAACGTGTGATATATATATATATATATATATATATATATATATATATATATATATATATTTATATATATATATAATTGGTATTGAATTAATAACCAACAATTACTATTCTTAAAAAGTGCTCAATATCAAAGTAGAGCAGATATAATTATTTTATAAAAAAATTTATAAAATAAGTATGTTATAAAAATCATATATAAAATAGCCATTTTGTTTCAACACACTCTGTGTCTTATCAAGTGATGGTGTTGAAAGAAAATGCATAAAAGTCTATGTGTGTATATATGTGTGTGTATTTAGGTTTATATGTATATGTACGTACATATGTACTTGTTATCATAGATATGTATATGTAAATTGTTTATGTTTATATATTTATTCGTGTGTATTTCTGTACGTATATGTATGTATGAATATATATATATATTTTTTTTTTATGTGTGTTAATTTGTTTTTGTTGCCGTGTATATATATATATATATATATGTATATATTTGGATTGCTTTATCCTGGGGTTCTTGCCAAATATATAATTATTATCAACTTATATGATTAATAATATATATATATTTTTATTGATATTTATTGTTTTAGAGTTTTCGTTTTAATATATTAAATAATATTATTTTTAAACATTTTTATCTTTATATATTTGCTCCCTCAAGTTATAATTCAATAAGTTAGCATTTATTTAAGTCTGAAATATTTACTGGTTGTGATTTCTCAATGTCTATGCCATTGTGGATGTATGTTTGTGTATATATTAAATGGTATGTAGAGTGTATTCACATTTAACTGTGTGTGTAAAACGTAAAGGGCTCGGAGTTGTTCATGTATTCCCCACCTCTTTTTTTTTTTTTTTTTTTTTTAAGTGTGTGTATATTAATCTGTGTGTGTGTGTGTATGTATCTAATTATGTCTGGATGCGTATGTATTATAATCTGAATAGTTGTGTCAAAAAGAGTTTAAGACCATATTCACAAACTTTAAAATAAAAACGGAAAAAGAAAAAAATATTAGATTATCAAACCGGACGAATTGTATTTTGTCTTGTCAGACGTAATTTCAATGAAAAAAATGAATTGAATAAATATATATAAATTTTTTTTCTCAATAATTTTGTAGTTTTAAACTTAATAGTGATTAAATTTGTTTTAAAATTGCCAGTTTTTAATTTTAATATTAAATTTTATCATATAAATTTATAATTATTAGGACTAAAAATTATTTTTAATATTACACGTATTTAAAGATCTAAATAGCTATAATAGCAGGATTTTGTTGTCAAGCTTTTGAATTTTCTGTACTTCGTTTTGATTGGTTATTCTAGTTTTTGTAACAATGCTCCCCTAGTGTTCTTCGTTAATTCATTGAAACTTTTAAAAATTTATTTTATTTTCAATATCACTTGATAAGACACCAGTAATAAACAAAATGGTTATTTTTAGAAATTTTATAATACTTATGTTACAAATTTTTATAAAAATAATTATATATATATATAAATATATATATATATATATAATATATATATATGAAATATATTATTTATTTTTTATATACGCACGGTAATTATTGGAAAGCGCTCAATATCAGTGATAGAGCTGACATATTAAGTTTATATCCCACTTCCATAAAAACACCGATATAGGTAACCATATATAAACCCAAAATTTACCGATCTGACGATCGCAAATAGCGTGAAACCCAGGGTCACATACTCACATATATATAATTAATAAGCAATAAAATACAAAATTGTCTCATATAGGGAATTTCGGCAGACGAAGACGTCTGTCTTATTAACCCCGGTGTTGAGTGAGATTGTGTCTATACAGACAGGAGGCAGTGGGCAGGGGTTCAGGAAGTAGGAATTTAACTGTGAAAGCTATAAAAATCAATTTGTCGAAAAACTAATACAGAATATATCCGTTTCAATGTTTCAGTCAGACGAAAGGCACGAGTCAGGGGTCAGGGGAGGGTGGAAGTTATTTGTCTTAAAGGGAAGAAATTTTATAAAATAAAACTCGAATATGAACCTAATGACATTAATCTGGAGTTATATGAAGCATGAAATATTAAAATAGGAGCAAAAGAAGGGTCTAAAAGAACTTTAAAATATTTAGATAAAAAGATGTAAGTGATTAAAGGAAAAAGAATTGAGGAGATACTAAAATAGGGGGAAAGTTTATAAATTATAATTAATATCTGTCTATATTGGTGAGATGAGGCATTATGTACACTATTTACATTATTCGG